GAGGGACGCCCGCCCGTCAGTCTTTCCGCTCTCCTCGAAAGCTGCCCGGGCGTCCTCGACGGCGCCGCTGAGACAAAAGCAGTCACACTTCAGTTCATGCCCAGACCTCGGAGAGATGATCTGTCTCTTGATCTTGCATTACTTCCATTTTCGAAATGGCAAGAATCACGAACGAACCGTTGAAGTTACCTGCACAAGAGTCCAGTCTTCTCTTCTGTTGTAGCTCGGTTTCGTTGATGCAAGATGCGCCAATTCACCAAGCAATCTGACCTCGAAAGAAGTAGAATAGATCAGAAAGTAAACTGGTGTCCACAAGGGCAACCTCAGTTCCTATGTTTACACTAAGTCGTTCAGATGTCAAGTACTTCTTTCTGCTTGCGACGTCAAACGCTTATCTTTTCCTTCGAAAACCATCCGGTAGGTCCATAAACGTAATAAGAAAGACAACAAAATCTGACTCAAGCCTTTGGGCTTTGAGTTTCCTCAAAGGGTGGTTCTGATTACCTGAAGTCGTCGGAGCGCATCCGGACTCGGCAGCGGCACTTCAGAACTCGAACCTGAAGCTTCTGTTTGGCTGGCCCTGCTTCCATCTTGGGGAGAGTGGTTTTAAGCACATGCGCGCATAAGTCCTCCGCCTGCTTCCATCGCCTGCAAGGATGCATCCAGCTGGTTCGTTAAGTCTTTCGGGCTCGGGTCAGAAGATCTCAACAAGCTGGTCCAAGGACGATGCCAATTTTGTCTCAATCTTTGATGCCCCACTGCACTAAGATGTTATCAGTTGCCTGGAGCTATACAGTGAAGATGCAAAGAAAACATGGCAAAGTGTGATCTTTTACCAATTCCCAAAAATACCGTGATGCTTTTGCAGGATTCTAGTGGCCCAATGATCAACATGAGGATCAGCGCAACTGCCAGTGTCAATCATTTGCCAATCATTTGCCAATCATTTGCCAGATCAGAAGTGTGAAAGCTTCAAAGAAGTCTGCAATTCCTTGTTGTGCAATGAGACTATGAACACTGCATAGAACCACTCTGAGAACGTTTGAAAGCCACCGGTGGTTTGTCCCTTGAGCTGGGAGCTGGCTGGTACAGAGAGCTCAATGAAGAGGTGACCTCCAACCCTGATTGCCACTTGCTCTAGCAATCACGACTGTTGATAGCTTGATGCAACTCCTTTGATCAACAAAAGGGGGCTGCTTACCCTTCAACAACGGCCAGCTCAGCTGCCGCCAGCTTACACTCCCTTTTATGCCCCACCTTCCAGTGCTGCGCCTGGCAGTCCTGGAGCCACAAAAAAAGCACGCTCTATCCAATGTGGAAAGTGGATCCAATTTTCGGACACTCAATATCAGAAAATTATGTCGGTGTTCATTATGTCCAAGCTGGACTGCCCCAAACAAAACTTACGCAAGAAGTATGAACGCTTTGTGAGCAATATTTAATGGCTTCTATAGCGTTTGTTTGCAGGACATGACAGACTCGTTTGAAGCAAAGAAACAATGCAAATTATCTGGCAGCTGGACTCATATTCCATCAAAACTTTCCATTTGCTTTTTCATAAGGAGGTGCATTGTGTGATTGTGGGAGGCAATTCACCATCAAGGTCAGAGGCTTTGGTCCCCAGCATCACCAGAATTGATCACGAGCTGGAAAAGGGGGGCCCCTGCCTCAACCGAGCAGGAAAACATGAGAGCCAGAGCTTTAGAGCCTCGCAACTGATATTTCAATGTCTTGGCCTCACATACCTTGCTGCAGTATCGGAGACTCTTACACGAGCTGCAAATCTGGCCCGCCTGATGCTTGCACCCGGGATTGGAGCATGTTTCGTGTGGAGCTGCCATTGTGATGCCAATATCGTATACAACCACTGGAGGAGAAATGAGGGATGTGCGGCCTCCCTGTGGCCCTCCTACACGACAACACAAGCCTTCCCCTGCTGGCAGCTTCTTAATGATCAACAATGCTGCATATCTTGCTACTGTCCTGACACGAGAATTGTACGAGACACAACTCCTAAGCCTGATATCATTGATAAAGGGCGGCCACCATCCTGGCGTCCAGATCGTCTTGCCTTCCCTTTCAACTTCAAGTCTGCTTTCGTGATAGTTGTCCCTTTCCACTTTCCTTTGGATTCCACATTCCACGACCGGGATGCTTTCGCCTTTACCACCCGGCCCGGGAACACAGCAAGCCAAATGAAGTTCGGTGTTAAATTCAAGCCATTCACAGGCAGCCACGTCATCCCCCCGGAAACCCAAATGTCTGATGTTGTGCGGGGACGGGTCGAAACCTGAAGTCGGAGCCGGTACGGACCCAAGTGGTACCAATCCGTTTACCGGGCACTCAGAAGCAAGGTACCCTAAGTAGGTTACTTAGAGAGAACATTTCTTCTCCAAAAAGTCATTCACAAATGTGCATCTTTTTCGGGTAAGGCCATATGTACATACATATTGGCAATTGGATCCGAGGGGTAAAACTCTGTACTACTAATCTGTTATATTCTCTTCTCCAGAGAGTGAATTGTAATATTGCATCTTTTTCAGGTATGGCCTAACATACATACATATCGCCAATTGGGAACCAAAGGGAAAACTCTGTACTACTATTCTGTTATATTTCCTTCCCTGGAGAAGAAAGAAATTATAACAGATTGTAGTATGAACTTTTCAGACCTCAGCCGAGTTTGGTGATATGTATGTATCTAAGGATCGCCGCCCGTCACGTATTGTCCAGTTTGGCAGGTATATGCCGTGACCAGGACGCAAGGATCACCCGTCTAACCCGTTTTTCGTGTCCTCCTGTCGATTCATGCAGTCAATCACAAATATCACATATATCGGGTGGTATGGTCAACACATAAGCGGGCACTTGGACACACGATTCACCTGTCCGTCCTGTCCTTCTTGTCGACTCGCACTGTTTGTAAATATTTGAACATTCTACATGATATGGGTCAGATTGAGGTCTGTCCTGTCGTCCTGTTGACTTTCTCCATGAAGGGGTGCTTGAGCATGAAGGGGATGGACCGGACACCAGAACTACTGTTCGCCCTGTCTCTCCTGTTGTCCTGCTAAGTACTAGTCAGAGAGTCCCAGCACCTGTCCCGTCTATGAGTCTTTTGTCATACAAGGAGCATCTTTTGGCGCAAGCAATATCGGTGTCTTCGAGGTTACTTTTGCACACCAATCATCTTGGTTGGGAACAGGTCGGGAGATCAGCACTCTC